TCATCCTCTCCCCTTGTTGCCTGCCCCCACAATGTAAAATAATACAAGGAAGCCCCCTCACCTGCTTGTCTTTCTGCAGGGAGGAGGCGAGCAGGCAGATCACTTGTGATCTAGTGTAATTAGTAAGGTCTGCAGACCTTACTAATCACTTTGTTTTCGACCCGGAGCTCAGTGAAGAGCTCTGGCCGAAAGGAAGGGGGACAGACCAGCAGGATCAGCTGCTCCCACGAGTCAGAGACCGCAAGCCTGACAGGAATTTCCACTCGCCAAATGCGAGCAGGCAAGTGGAAATTTTGAGCCCTGATCTATACTACGCATTAACATTTGAGGACAGCCTCCCTACCTGGCCCTTTCCACTAGGCTGTTTACATCAGAAGGAAATATAGGTTTGTTAGTTTTTTGTACTCACTGTAAAAACCTTTTCTCTCTGTTCCTTAACCCCTTCATGACTGAGGCCTTTTTTTCATTGTTTGTACCCATGTTATATTCCACATTTTAGGCCTGAAAATTACTTGAAACCCCCCAACATTATATATTTTCTGAATGCCAAGACCCTATAGAATAACATGGTGGTAGTTGCAAATTTTTATGTTGCGCAATATTAGAGCAACTCCTTATTAAACCCCAATATTTAGTGAAAAATTTAATTAAATGCCCCAAAACACAACAAAATACCCATTTTTTTAATGAAATATAAAAGATGAGGTTACAACGAGTAAAACGATACCCAACATGCCCAGGTTACAAATTGCGTGCATCCGTAAAACGGCGAAAAACCCCAGTACCCCAAAAAGTCCATAGAAGACGCTTTAAAAGCCCCCACAGGTCATCAATTTAGAGATACCCCAAAATACTGGACCTAGAATTATTGCTCTCACTCCGGCGTGCGTGGCGATACCCAACATGTGTAGCGCGTTCGTCGTTTTCATACGTAGGCGCACCCGCCGCGTGTTTACGTGGCGACGCGCGTGCTCGCGGGGATGGGGGACTTTTACAAATTTGTTTTTATTATTATTAGATTTATTTAAATTTAATTTAAAAAACTTTTTTTTTTTTACTTTGACTGCTATCACATGGGGGGGCTTCGGGACGCAGAAGCGATCTGGCGACAGGTAAGTCGCCAGGATCGCTTCTGTTGTAAAGCCGACAGTCGGCTCTACAAGTTTAAACAGAGTCCCGGCGGCAAAAGTCACCGTTAGTCTGTTTAAACAGCCCCGATGCTGTCGTCAGTCACGAAGGGGTTAAAGGACACAGCCAATCATCAGATCTCGACTAATGAATGATATCATCACCTACTTCTACAGGGCGATATAACACATCGGTCAAGATCTAAAAATCAGCTGTGTCCTTCAATGAACGGAAGAGAAAATAGGGCTTTCTTCATATACTTAGATACACAAAAACAAGATTTGTATGGAAAATTATATATAGAACGGAGTAACATACACAGATAAAATGGGATCCCAGGTTCCTGCAGGTGGCTCTCCACAAACTCCCTCACTGCTCCAACTACAAGTGGGAAAAAAAAGAGAATAAAGATTATTTAATGAGTAGCAAAAAAATAAAAATAAACAATAGAAAGTAAAAAATGCATACTTGTATCTGTCACTTGAAAAAATCCCTGTAGGATGAATCGATCTGGGAAGAGGACTCGAAGGACAACCTGCAAATGAAAAATAAATAAAGCTGAAGTTATACTTTACCTATACTTAGGACATACCTCCAAATTACCCCCCTTTTAATCCAGTGAATCTCCTACAGCAGGGGTAGGCAAACTCAAGCCCTCCAGCTGTGATTAAACTACAAATGCCATCATGCATCTGCCTCTGGGAGTCACAACTGTGGCTATCAGAGTCTTGCAATGCCTAATGGGATTTGTAGTTGTACCACAGCTGGAGGGCCGGGGTTTGCCTACCCCTGGGATAGAGTTGGTGGTAACTGTTTAGCAAAATGTACTTTTTCCTTCCCAGCATGACTGGGCCCCTGTGCACGAAGCCAGCTCCATGAAGACATGGATTGACCAGTTTGGTGTGAAGGAACTTGTAGTCTGCACAAAGCCCTGACCTCAACCCAGTCATGCCTGTGGGTGACGGAGTCTTGCAATGCCTAATGGGGTTTGTAGTTGCACCACAGATGGCTGGCCGGAGTTTGCCTAACCGTGCCCTTCAGGAGACTGCTGACCCTTGACATATCCTAGCCTATAGCTTCTTCAAATGAGTCTATGCTGTAAAACGAGGAGGGGTACCTGAACTCATTCAAGTTGGAGGCACATGTTCCAATGATGTAATGTAGTAGGGTTTCCAGATATGGGGGAGCATGTGACCTCCGCCATGTGACAGTGCTTGGGCCTCATTGGCCAATCGACACACCCGAACACTATCACATGGGGGAGGCAGTGACCTGATCTACCTGCGTAAGCTCTAACACCATCTGATGCTGGCGCTGATTCAGGATGGAATCCTGCAGTAGGGAGGCAACAGAAGAATGCAGATAGGTGAGCATGCCTTTGCGCAGGGTGGGCTATAAGAAGGCACTGCCAGCCTGCCCTGAATAGGCAAAGTGACAGATCCTCTTTAAAGAAGAAGTCCAGGTAGAAATTTTTCTATAGGTTATCTGGAGATATCAAACCAAGTACAGCTGGGCTTGTGGATTATTCTATATAGAAGAACTCCAGGCAGAATTTGCATCAACCCTCACAGTGGAGCTACCCTCGCACTGCAAGGGTTAAAAAGTTATACTCACCTGAGCCTTGGAGACGGCAGCCCTCCCTCCAGAAATGATATGTCCCACGGTGTTCTACATACAGTGTTAAAATATAAAAAAAAAAATCTCCAGAGCTGCAAACTATAAAAGACGTAATTGGTTTCACATTGCCCAAAGACTTTTATTCAGTTCAAATAAAAGCAGATCAAACCGCTTACATAACAGCCGTAAAATCTGACAGAAGCACTGAGACAAAACTGATAGAAAACTCAGAGAGGTTTTATTTGCTGTTGCATGAGATTTGGTAGTCTCCTTATTCCATTCCGGTAGCTATGGTACTACTGCTCTCATCATTGACAGGACTGCACAAACTGCAGACAGCTAATACCAAAAAGATAAATGATGTGTTTTATTTTCCTATAGATGCCAGTGAAAGCACACGCTCCATGGCCCCACTCATCATCCTTATCTATCCTTTATTACGGTACTTAACGAGTCACCAACCTGGAAGAAGTATGCAGCCAGTGTCAGGACACCTAATATGCACATATCTGCTAAGAGGTAGTGAAGGGAGGATTAGGGTGACAGCCGAAAGTATACATCTTTAAAGTGGACCTGAACTCAGAAAGTGAGGACCAGCTATCTTCATGTGGAAATGTTAACTGTGCCTAAGCCTTTTACTGTGCCTTGAGCCTTACAGCTTTATATATGCACTGTGAGAGTATCTAAGGAACTGCTGCCTATGACTGAAATCTCAGGAGATCCGGAGTGAGATCTGGTAATGTCACAACTGTGCCAGAGAGCAAGCTGCAACTAAGGACCTGCAGTGCAAGGATCTCCCTACTTCTGCTTCATTTATTCTCAGAATCAGTTTTTATCACCTCTGCTCCTGCTTCTTTAATAGATGTCATGGGGTGGGGGGGGCAGCTCTGACACGTAGAAGCAAAGCCCTGCCTCTACCAAGATGGCCGCACTCACACGCAGACACAGTGCAAAGGCATGGCAAGTAAGTAGGGATGCACCGATACTAGTATCGGTGCCGATACCTAGTATTTGGGCTAGTACTCGTGCTCGCCCAAATGCTCCGATACCAGAACTTCCGGTCAGAGGAAGATTTCCTCTGACCGGCAGTGCCGTAGGGGAACATGGAGCCAGCTTCCAATGCGATCAGAAAGCTGGGGGGCGAGTAATGACCCGCCTCCTGGCTTCCTGATTGGCCGAGAAGCCAACTCCATGCTGACTGGCCAGGAAGCCAGATTTCCAGCCAATCAGCATGGAGCTGGCTTCCTGGCCAATCAGGAAGCCAGGAGACGGGTCAGTACTCGCCGCCTGGCTGTCTGATTGGCCAGGAAGCTGGCTCAATTCTGATTGGCTGGGAAGCCGGCCAATCACAATCAAGCGGGTCAAACAACATGGAGCCGGCATGTCATTACCCACCGCCCCGGCTTCCTGATCGCCCGGGAAGCCGACTCCGGTACTTGGCATCAGCGAGTACCGAAAGCAAAATATTCGTACTCGATACCGAAAAAACGGTATCGGTGCATCCCTATAAGTCAGTAATGGAAATTAATATATCAGAAGCAGGGAGCATACAGGCAATACTAGGCACCAGTCCTTTGCCCTCCGCTTGCCTTTCTTTTTGGTGCAAAGCTTCCACAACACAGGCCCTCTTCAAAATTAAGTAAACCATGACTCTTCCCACACTTCTATCCTGACAGAAAGAGATCTGGTCCTAAACAAGGATTGTGGGTAGGTACACACAACTTAGAGATACAAGATGAGATATAGAAACTGTGAGGAGTAGAAAAGAGACAGCAAAACATATATTGCAATTTGTCTAAGCAACACGACTTAGCACCTTCCCCAAAAAAACTGACGTTCTGCAACAAGAATATCTCTATCAAGGCCAACATATGGTGCCGACATACCTTTAAGCCTTTATCATTACCCATAAATATTTTATATAGTACAGAAGCCAGCATGCCATCAGAAAGATGTCTTGAAGCCGATTTAGCAGCAGAAGCAGAAAACGCAGAATTGTTTCTAATTAGAGACCGCAGGAATTACCTTGAGAACCGGACTGCGCAGGCCCCTTCCCTCTAACAGCCCCCTTCTCGGACTGATCTCCTAAAATAACCCTATTCTTCGTGACATGATGTTTTTCCCTATTTTGCAGTAAAGATGTGGGTAACAGCCGCAATTATGGGAAACAGAACGTAATACAAAAGGTTCCAGGGAAACGAGATCAAAGTGGAGTCCTGTGCTGGAAATAGCCATTTCTCAGGATTAAAGCCCCGCTTTGATATCTCCTGAAAGGACCAGATTTAGAATGCTGTGTGTGCGCCTGATCATGTGGCAATCTTCCACTGTACACAGCGCCGTAGAAGGGGCACACCTAAAAAGACAACTCCATACTTTGGGGGGAAGAAAGTTCCTTTCACATATTTAAACATAACTAATGAAGGGGATAACACACAGATCTTTGCTTTGCATCATCTAATGCATTCCACTATGAAAAATACCCAGAACTCCCGGGTGTGAAGATCATGTGACAGCTCTGGTGCATGGTGACTGACCACTCAAGCAGTAGCTCTGTCAAATTTGGCTAGTGAGACAGTCCTCGGACCTCTGTGAGCTATAGGGATGCACTGATACTGGTGTTGAGTACGAGTACCGATATTTTTCTTTCGTTACTCGCCGATACCGAATACCGACTACCGGAAGTCCCATTCAGGAAGCCAGTCGGCGTGTAATGACTCGCCACCTGGCTTACTGATTAGCCAGGAATCCGGGCGTGTAAATAATCACCACCCGGCTTCCCGATTAGCAGGGAAGCCGCCCCCATGATTTTCACCACTAGGTGACAAGGAAGCATGGAGCCGGGTTTCTGGCCAATCAGGAAGCCGGGCACCGTGTAATGACGCGTGCCCGGCTTCCTGATTGGCCGGGAAGCTGGCTCCATGCTCCCTCGTCATGAGGTGACGAGGAAGCAAGGAGCCGGCTTCCCAACCAATCAGGAAGCCGGGCGCTGTGTCATTACAGCTTGCGACCAATCAGGAACCCGGGCAGCGCGTTATTGCACTCTGCCCGGCAAGCTGGATCCATGTTCTCTCGTCACAAGCTTCCTGATTCCGGAAGTATCGGGCTTGGCATCGGAGCATTTGGGCGAGTAGTCGCCCAAATACTCGGCATCGGCACCGATACCGATACTAGTATCGGTGCATCCCTAGTGAGCTACAAGTCATGACTTGGAATGCATACAAAGCTTCCTCTCTCCACTCCTGGTGGCTGAATGGAGTGGAGGGGGAACAAAGGAGAAAGATAGATCTGAGGGGACCAACAAGCTAGAACTCTCTAATCATCAGGTATCAAGAGCTCTGCTGATTGCAGAGCTCTAGCTCTAAGGGCAGGTTCACACCATTTACCGGACTAGATCTGGTCCAGAAAATAGTGTGAACCTGCCACAGTTCCAGTGCATCCCAGACCAGACAAAATGAGACATGCAGTATTTTTCTGATCTGGTCTGGAACGGACTGCACTGGTGTGAACAGAGGCCAGTAATAGCATGGGGATATATTAGGATGCATTTTGAGTCCGGATGATTTGCATGTGGTGTGAATGGACCCTGAATAACCAAGGGGCGTGTCAGACCTCTTCAGAGAGACCGATGCTTCCACAAAGAGAGCAGGGGGCATATTCTGCAGCATGCTGGCAGGGGACAGGCTTTTCTACTTCGGCTGTGGCTGCTTTATGAAGGAAACAAACGGCAAGACTTTTGTTTGGATAAACCTGGAACGCATTCAGTTGATTTAAATTGAAAGTTTAGTCGGGCTTTAAGCAGTTTACCCAGAACAAGAATGCAGATCTGTAGTTTTGAATTCACTCTGATTCTCTAATCTGCATGTTTGTTTCATGTCAGAGACCATTTTTAGAGCTCCTGCTTTTCCTCTCAGTACAGGTTTCCTTTAATATAAAACCCGTCAATCTGTTATTTTTCACCCAATCTGCCATAGCTGTGCTCTAGCTCTGCTAGTCTCAGGAGATTTGGCATGATATTGATGGATGTCACTATTGTGCTGCTCACTGTTCTACTTGCTGGAGGCTCTGGCATGAGGAAGCAAAGCCCTGCCTCTACTAAGCAGACCAAGGCATAATAGGTCAGTAAATGGGAAAAGAGTAGCTGCAGGGAGACCACGAGCATAACTGGTGACTAGTTCATTTTTTTGGGCACAGCTTCCAAAGTTCAGTTCCTCTTTAATCGATATAGAAAATGCTGACGCTATATACAGGTGTAAAATAGATATTTCCACCACACTGTCCATAAGGAGAAGACGTAGCGTTCTAAAAAGCTGCACAATTTCGTCAAGTCAAACCCATTTTTGGCAAATATTTCAAACACGCTGCTTCATGTGTCTTTCCTTGTACCCTGGACGGAGCTCAGAGAAGAAGGTGAAAGAAGTGATCGCTGTAATGACACATATGTTCTGTTTACACGGGCTGCTGCTGGAAAGCACAGGTCACGCAGAAGTATTCCAAATGGAAAATGGCAGACCTAGATCTGTTTCCTTCCTATAAACAGAGGCTGCTTATTGATACAGGGATCAATAATCCCTGGAGTAATTACATTTTCTTAGTCATTTCCCCTAAGGCGGGAAAGAATTAGGAAATCCCTGCTTTTGCTTTTAAAGCTGAACTCTGGGCAAACAGCTAAATACACATGAAATGCACTGGTGAGCTCAGCAACACCAAAAGGCCAGGGTGACCATGGAAGAACTTTGTGGTGAATGATCAAACAGTTCTTTCTGTGGTTAAGAGAGAACCCCTCACAACATCTAGTCAAGTCCAGAACACTCTACAAGAGGTTGTCGTATCATACAATTAACAAAATACTTCATAAAGGGGTTTACCATAAAACCACTCAAGAATAGGAAGGTCAGATGATTGGACTTGGCCAGAAGGCATCTAAATAAGCCTGGCCGGTTCCAGGAATATATAGTTTGGACAGATTAAAGATAAATCAACATGTATCAGAATGATGGGAAGAAAAGAGCATGGGGAAGGAAAGGAACAGCTCATGATCTGGAGCATAGTACATCTGTGAAACACGGTGGAGGCATTGTTATGGCATGACCATGAGTGGCTGCCATTGGAACTGGGTCACTGGCACATATTAATAATATAACTGTCCCTATACACTTCACAAGCCATCATGCTGCTTATGTGAGCAGTGGATATGGATCAGATTTAAAAAACGGACAGGATGGCACTTCAGAGTACAGATGGACGATGACCCAAAACATACTGTGAAAGCAACCCAATGGCCAAGACAGTCACTTGAACTCAACCCAACTGATCATGAAATACATTCGTTGAAGATGCATCCCCAGGCTATATCTGCAACCTTGTTGCAAAGTATCACCCTAACCGTCCCCTCCGCTCCTCCCAAGACCTCCTGCCTTCTACCTCTCTTGTGAACTCATCCCATGCTCGCAGTAGGACCTCTCCCATCCTTTGGAACTTACTACCCCAACCAGTCCGTCTACCTCCTACTCTGTCAGCCTTTAGTCAATCCCTAAAGACTCATCTCTTCAGGTAAGTCTATCCCGCCTCAAGCTAACCACTGAACTATCATTTTCTCAAACAATTCATCCCCACACAGCTACCGCCTCTTCTATCACTTGCCCCATTTCTTTTCGATTGTAAGCCCTCAGGGGCGGGGCCCTCCTTACCATCTTGTCTTGATTTGTATTGTAACTGTAAATGTCTTCCTTATATTGTAAAGCGCTTCGCAAACTGTTGACGCTATATAAATACTATGTAATAATAATAATACAAAATTGAATGTAGAGAGACCAAGAAGCAAGCAGCAAATGAAGACAGATGCACTAAAGGCCTAACAACGCCTCAGGAAGAAGCTTTCTCTGATGTACATGGGTAGCAGACTTCAGGCAGTCATTGACCACAATGGATTATTAACAAACTACAGAAAATGATCATTATGTTATTTGCCAAAATCATTTTGAGGCCATAAAATTGAGGAGACTTTGTCCAATAATGGCTGTAATTCCTAAACGGCTCATAAAATGTTTTGTTACCACCCTTAAATGAGTATTTGTGCCAATCCAGTTCTGGAGATTTACACATATCTGTCTGGAAGGGCAGGTAACCAATTTTTCTCCACTGTAGTTTAACTACCCTGCCCCCCCAGCATATGGCTGGAACGTGAAAGGAGAAGCTCATCTCCCTCCCCCTGTCAACAGTTCCCTTTTATATCTAGAGTTTCATAGAGTTCAGCTAATCACCACAGGCTTTTACTTAAAAGTCAAGTTTACCTTTCTTTCCATGTTACACTCGTAATCAGGGCATATAATGAATTGTGGTTGCATTGCCAAAGCGACAGGATCTGTGAATGGAGAAACTGCAAGGCTCAAAGGGACCTGTATTTCTCGATAGAAAAAAAAGCGCGGTGCCCATTCATACTGCCTCTCGTCCCTGTAACTGAAAGTCCGTACCTCAGTACAGAAAGGGACTTGAAGAAGAGTCTGCAGGAGCCAGAACATTGCACACGCAATCCTCTGATCACGGTTGCAATGCTTTACTGGCTCCAATGCAAAAAAAATGCACATCATTTAAAAATCAGAGTAATAAGGCATTTAGGCTGGATTCACACTTGGGCGTTCGTAAAATGCGCGTTTGACGCACGTTTTTACAGCGATTTGCGGTCAACGAAACGCGCGACAAACACACGTTTACGAGGGCTATCCGGCTGCATCCTAATGGATTCGCGCAGAAATACTCCCCAAAGAAGCTCCTGTACGTCTTTGGGCATAGGGCGTTTTTCAGCTCGTTCCTACGCGCTGAAATACGCCCAGGTGGCAACCATGCCCATAGGAAATAATGGGATTTCACTTGCTGGGCGTTTTACAGCGCGTCGATCAGCGCTGTAAAACGCCCAGGTATGAACCAGGCCTCACGGTTCTGACTCCATGCGCAGTGTAATATCTGGAAAACGTATGATAATGCTGCGCAGGTTGACAGCACAGCGAAGTTGCATGGCAGCTCGAGAGCTGCAAGTTTTCAGAGCTTGTCCTAAAGCTGCCTGAATCAAAAGGCTCCCAAAAGCTAATTTCCTCTGCCTGGTGTTGACACATGAAAGCTGTTATCTGCATTATCCTCCCACACGTGTTCTCTCGGATAATGTATCTACAAGAGTGTCCTGCCAATTTCCTCACTCGCCCTTCAATGCGCGTTTTAGATAAGGAATGTAAATAGCAGGGAGGAATAATCCTAGGATGTGCCAGGTATCAGATTCCTACCTTAGGGTATCTGTCCAGTTTTTCCTTCAGCTGTGCTTCCCTTAAAGCTTTAGTCATTAGCGGGGTTTCCTCCAGACGATGTCTGAGGAGAGAACAGGAAGAGATAAAGCTGTTTAATCTCCGCAGAAAAAGTATCCAAGTTAAAGCTGAACTCCGGGGGAAATAAAACAAACTACCCTCGCAGTGGGACTTACACCGCGCACTGCAAGGGTTAAATGCTCATTTTTTTGCCTAGGGTACCCATGACAAGCACTTTTACTTATCTTATCTCTCGCTCCACAGGCAGCAAGCATTCTCCTCCACGCTCCAATGATCTGGGTTGTTGGTGGGTCCTCAGCATCCTCACTTGCAATGCAGGACTGTTGGTTTTGAATGTATGGGATGATGTCAGAGTGCTTTTTACGGGTACCCTAGGCAAAAACGAGCTCTTAACCCTTCCAGTGCAGGCAAGAGCCCAACTGCAAGGACAGATTTTTAATTTCCCCGAAGTTGTATTTGTATAGGAAAATGTACCCCCAAATCTCCCTCTCCCCCTCTACTGCATGTTCCAGCAATGAAGTGCTTATAAACCCTGACAATTAACTCCCTTTGTTACCCTTTGGTCTGTTAAATATACAGTTGATGATATTTTCCCAGGGACACTCAGGCTGGGAAGAAAAGATCAGTGGTAACCAAACTTTGGCCCTCCAGCTGGGATGGAACTAAAAATCCCATCATGCCTCTGCCACTGGAAGTCATGCCTGTGGCTGTGGAGTCTTGCAATGCCTCATGGGACTCTTCGTTTCACCCCAGCTGGAAGGCCAAAGTTTGGCTACCCCTGGGCTAGAAGAGGCTGGAAATCATCCAGGAAATGAGGCGGGCTCTGACTTGCTACAGATTCTAATGCACATTGCGAGAAGCTCACAGTGTGCAGTGAAGTTAAAATAACAATTTTCAGTCCAGGAGAGGAGCCGTTACAACTGTACAAGACTGAAGGGAAAGCCGGAGTTCTGCTTTAAGCATATATCCCAAAGAAATGTATCAAAACATGCTTTGATTTTCATTTCTTGAGAGGACAAGATGACCTTACACTTTAAAGTACTCTCTGGCTCCAAGATCAAATTACTAGGCTCCTGGATTTCACATCATTTTGTCCACCTCTGCATTACTTCATCAATCAGATACAAAATGCTCACGCACCCCACAGAACACATGGACTGGAAAAAGAAAAAAAACGGATCTGCAAAGCAAGTCTTTTACCTTTCTCTTTTGAGTTCTGCAAACCTTCTCCTCACATCATCTACTGTGACCTCAAAAAAATCATCGGGTAGATCCATTTTATTGGCACGTACGTTCCGTTCCAAATCCAGGTAGCATACAATGGGTTCTCTGTCTAGAGACTGCAAGGCAAAACATCAAAATACATTTACTGTTTGAGCAGAAAGTACATAACATGCTTATGATGTTTCACAGTAAGGTCTTAGAGAGGGCCATACATGGGGGGGGGGGTTGGAATCTCATTGTCTTAATTCATCCCGATATTTAGTGATGACCATCAACCATGATCCTACATTCATCTGACGTCTATTATTTAGCATGCGTTAGGTGACGTCCTCGGTGCCGCAGGCAAATCTTTGCCAACAGCGGTGCCCAGGGATCCTGTATTTCTATTGAAGTCTGCTCAAGCCAGAATGTATGTTCAATCAACTGAATGTTCAATGAAAAGCTACAAAAAAAGTAACTAAAATCCACTGACCCCAGAAGAAAATCTTACAGGGATCCCTCACATTTCACACATTCAGATGTGCCAAAGGATGGTATGTGCATTTAATGTATTTTATGCATGTTATTTTACCTATATAATCGGCTGTGGTAGAACGTTGTTGACCGCTTCTGATCGATCAAACAAATATCTGCGTGTTTCGGGATAGGAGATCGTAATTCAGATTGATTAAAGAGAACTTGCACTCAGGAGTTAAATCTTAAAAATACACTCAGGAACCTATTAACAATAATGTATCTTATTTGCGTATCACTCGGCTGTAGATCCTCAAATCATCTCTGAATTGGTGCTGACACTGTCCTTCCTTCTGGAGGGTGGCTACTTTTCTTCCTCATGGTCCCTGTGTGTGTTGTAAAGTAGTCACTGCTCCAAGCTCACTCCCGTGATGGACTACAATATCAATACAAATGAGTAAACTAAACATGAGATTGCAGTCCATCACAGGAGCGAGCTTGAAGTGGTGGCCACTCTCCAGAAGGTACTTGAATGCATTATTAAAATGTAACTCCTGAGTTTAGTGTTACTTTAAGTTAATGTTCTAAAGTGATTGCTGACCTTGGATAGATCAATCCAATAGATTTTCGATCAATATTTTCAATCGCAAGATGCTGGATATCATGTGTGTTGCATTGATCAATATTTTTAAAGGAGAACTATGAGGTGAGTGCTTTCCACTCACCTCATAGTTGTAGCCGACCTGTGACGAGACTGTCACAGGTCGGCTCAGTAGATCGAGAAGTGAGCGAACACATACAGGCGTTCGCTCACCTCTCGATCATGTCACGGCTGAGAGCCGTGACAGGGGAGGGGCTGAATTCCCCCCTCCCCGCTCCGCCAGCGTTGACTGGTGGATCGGACGGGGAGGGGGCGGGTATAGCTGGCTCTGCCTCTAGATAGGCAGAGCTAGCTGTCACTCACGCAGCTGGGCGGATCCAGACATAATTGTCGGGATCCGCTTCAGCTGCGGTGTCTCAGTATATCGCGAGCTGTAGCTCACAGTATACTGAGCTTAGGGTGACGGGAGGACGCTAGTTTGTGTCCTCCCGTTACCCTAAGGTGAACTATGGGGAAAAGCCTTAACCCCATAGTTCTCCTTTAATTGTTTGTGATCGCTTGTATCTAAGTCGATCACAAATCGCTTTGTGTAAGGCAAACTTAACAGACCAAAAGAGAACAAATCAGATACATTCATTGTTAGGGTTTACATACACTTTAAAAGCAGGAAGATGACTGAAAAGGAAAGGAAGACTGTTTTTCCTGCTCAGAATACAATGACAGCCTAAGGCCAACATGGGAGGGAAGGTTATATATGGGGCCCCATGACCTCATAGAATCAGGAGAGCACTGCAGGCCCCAAAGTCACTCCACTGCTCACCTCGGACTCACTGTCCTCTATATCAGTCTTTGATTTCTTTGGCTTAGAATGTTCTGGACTGTGTAAAGGCTCTTGAGCAGTGGCACACTGCAGGTCATCTTCGAACGAAGCTGCAGGAATGTTGGCACCACCTAGACGATAGCCTCCGCCTTGGAATGGAACAAAGGAAGTCACTCGAGACTGAGTAGGAGCTTTTGGCTTGACACTGTCCACACTGGACTGCACTTTCTCTACACTGGAAGCTGCTGCTTTAGCTGATGCAACTTCTTGGGGTTCTTCTCTCCCTGAAGCTTTAATAGACAACCTCTCCTCCTGGCAAGGTGCTGGCTTTTTCTTCACATCTTCTGATGTTGGAAGAACTTTGGACCCTTCCTTGAGGCCAGAGCCCCTCTCTCTTTTTGTGTCCTCCTCTTTCTTCACATCTTCTGATGTTGGAAGAACTTTGGACTCTTCCTTGAGGCCAGAGCCCCTCTCTCTTTTTGTGTCCTCCTCTTTCTTCACATCTTCTGATTTTGGAAGAACTTTGGACCCTTCCTTGAGGCCAGAGCCCCTCTCTCTTTTTGTGTCCTCCTCTTTCTTCACATCTTCTGATGTTGGAAGAACTTTGGACGCTTCCTTGAGGCCAGAGCCCCTCTCTCTTTTTGTGTCCACCTCTGTACTTGAAGGCTGTCTGCTCCCAGACGGGTCATTCTTCCTCACTACAAACCTTGTAAATGAGATAGATCACAAGCTTCACTACAAGAACAGAGTGTCCATTTATCAAAGGAAGCAAGAACTGTGAAATGTAAAGCAGAGTAGAAAAACATATACAGGAACTACTTTATCTGCCAAAGATTTGTAAATGTGTTCAGCCATTCATAAGACCAACCCAGGTCTTGGACATCCCTGTAGACTCCCCTGCATTTAAACAAAACAGTCTGGTCCAAAACCCACCCCAGGCTGTGATTGGGCAATGAAGGTGCTCAGTACAGTGATGAGATTACTCCTCTAATCTCCCATCATGTGGGCATTTTTACTGTGAGCAATGGAGCCCTGATTGGCTCAGAGAGCCGCCCTTGCGTCTCCCGGTTTACGTACTAAGCAGAGGATTACAGGATACAGATATCAAGGCAGATTTATCTAAATTATACTTTTAATGAATGCATGTTTATTTGATTTAAATGCATTTTATTGGTTAACTAAGCTCAGTCCCAGACCTCACTCAGGAAACTTAGTGTAGGGCTCAACAGACAAAGACCCATAGAGAGGGAATCTTCCAATGGTGACACTTGTTCTTGTGACAACAAAGAGGGGATTTCTCTCTCACTGCAAAGATATCCTCTTACTTCCTGTTGAGCCTACCGGACAGGAAGTGAAATCTTCCTAATGGGACACAGGAAAAAAAGCGGATTTAACCTCTTGCCGTCCGCCCGTAGTAAAAAAACGGACGGACGGCACTGCTACATGCCGTCCGCCCGTAGTAAAAAAACGGACGGAGACTCTATATCTAAAATAAAAAGGTTTTGACTTTACATATACTTTAAATCTGAAGTTTAAGGTATGCATATAATACCTAACACCCTCACTTGTACGCCCCCTCCCAATCAATACTAAATTACATTTTATAATCAAATCAACTGGTTTTCAAAACATAACTATTCTGAGGTCCAGTGACGTCATCATTGGGTCTGTCTGCTGCTCAGTTTGGTGAAAGGGGCTGGCAGGCTCCTGTAAACGTTTCAGCATTCTGCCTTGGATCTTCTATGGAGAGCCTTATACGAAAGAACACATACCTGGCATCCCCTTTAAACATGCCTGCGCCTCCCTGTTGGCCACTGGGTGCTGCAGACTTTGGCTGTGCAGTCTGCTGATTGGCAGCTTGAGCAGAGACACCTAAAAGGGATGGTGGGAGTGTATTCTTTCATATAATGCTCAAGAAAAAATGATTGATAACAAAACAAAAAAAAGCCAATAGCTGTGAGAGAAGGGCAACAACAGTACAGCTCAGGAGGGGAAGGGAACCAGTGGGCCAATCATATGGGCAAAGGGGTGGGAATTCTGGGAAATCCCAAATAAAAATTAATGTTTCCATAAAGAACTATGGAAACCATACTAATTCATCTAATAGAATGTAAATCTTTATTAGATTACCATAGCGGGGAGTGAACTGAAACAGAAAGGCTATTTGTAATATTAAACTACAAAATAGCTTTCACGACAATTACAGCATGCATTTTGATTTTTTTTTTTTAAAGGGACTTATCTCTTTCTCTTAGTTAAAGGGACTTATCTCTTTCTCTTAGTTAAAGGGACTTATCTCTTTCTCTTAGTTAAAGGGACTTATCTCTTTCTCTTAGTTAAAGGGACTTATCTCTTTCTTACCGACCTGATTATGGCACTTCCGCCTGTGAGCCCCAAGGATAGAAGAGATGTTTGCTTCAGAAGAGATTCACCGGATACCTGAGAAACAAGATCTGATTAGGTGGCTGGACTCTGTCAGAGAACACACACGATTCATAAGTAGCCATCCTGACTTCAGACTGACTGCTCTATACATGTGCACAAATTTTAGTCATAGACAAGACAGTGGGGGGGATTTATGAAAACTGGTGCAGACAAAATCTGGAGCAGTTGCACATGGCAATCAATAAGCTTCTATCTTCAGATTGTTCAGTTAGGATTGGAAAATGAAATAGAGAAGCCAACTGGTTGACATGCACAGCTGCTCCAGATTTTGGCTGCCCCAGTATTGATAGATTTCCCCCCAGTGTGTCACAGGTGAGTACATTTGAACCATAAAAAAACAGTTCAAATTATTTTATTTTGAAACAAAACATTTGTCTCCATGTTTATTCATTCTTTGTTGCACTACCGATCTTCTGCTGCCTATTTCCAGCCAAGTACTGTGTCGAAATGGTCAACTGTAGTTCCATCGGAAGAGCATGTGGCAATGCAAGAGCACAACTGGGAGACAGGGACAGAGCGTTGTCACCCTATACCAGGAAGTACCTGAACAAGGACTTTATGGGAGGATTGACAAGGATTATTTTAATGAGCGCTGCAGATTTAAAATGCATTTGAAAATTATTGAATTTAAAGGCGAACTGAGGTGAGTGAAAATCACACATCATCATAGTTAGAGCCGACGTGCGACAATTAAACTGTCACACGTCGGCTCAATAGATCGGGAAGTGAGTGAACACATACCGTCGCTCACTCACTTTTCTATTATCTCCCTGCAGAGAGTCGTGACTGTCACTCACGGCTCCCTGCATGGATTCCCCCTCCCCGATCCTCCAGCGTTGACTGGAGAAATGGACGGGGAGGGGTGGGTACAGCTGGCTCTGCCTCTAGATAGGCAGAGCCAGCTGTCACTCACGCAGCTGGGTGGATCTCGACAGTAATGTCGGGATCCGTCCCGACTGCGGCGGTCTCAGTATACCGCAAGCTGTAGCTCGCTATATACTGAGCGTTGGGTCACTGGAGGACAGTAGTATATGTCCTCCTGTGACCCTTAAGAGAACTATGGGGAAAAACACTTACCCAATAGTTCTCTTTTAAATCCACTTAAGGTTATTAGTATATATCTGGGTGCTACAGATCATGTTTTTAAGTGTGATCATAAAATTTGCCAACCACTTTGTTTTTAGGGTGTGGAATTCCATATTGCATGCATCAATGTTGTTGTAACTAAAATTAACACACCGTCCCAATGGCTTTGGCGGGTGCAGGTGGGAACTCAAACACAGATGTCATGCCATTCGAGTCACCCAGAGATATAAAATTTGGTGTGTAAAAATAACACGTTTGGGTGGCCTGGCTATAAAATCTGGACCCGCCACCAACATAAAACTGTACTTTAAAGAAGAATTCTGCTCCAATTAAAACAAAAAACAGGGTTCAGTCATAAAAGAGCTGTCATACAAAAAAAATCAGCACTCTAAATGTTGTTATGCACTTATACAATTGAATGATTCAACCATCTCGCATCTATCCAAAATGAAAACATCCCATTTGGGTGGCCTAGCCGTTTAGGAAAACTACTGGATACATAGACTATAATGTCACATGCCAGTGAGGTCATTTGTATTTTTTTTTTTTGAACATCCCACTTAAAAGGTGAATTTTTATTGCAACATCAAAGTGTGCAGGTGGCGGTCTTTGCGTCCACCCTGACGCATCAGTCGCCGAGTTCTGAGGGACGTAAAGAGGTGCGAGCTGGAAGCGCCGGAGCCAATGAATCATTAACGAGCTGTCTGGATTACAGAATTCGATGCTCTGTGCATTGCCTTACCTCATCCCGCATATAAATGCATACAGCAACGCTTCCAGGAGGAACCTCGTCCAAACACACCCTGCAAAACACAAACAGCAGTAAACCTCAAAGCGCAGACAGAATCACTTCATATGTGCAACTCAGTGCCAGCAATGCTAGCAAAACTGGACAAAATATTAAGCGTATCCAGTTGGGCAAAGAGCCTGTGGAAAGAAAGGTAACCCTCAGGAACCAATCAGAAGTCAGCAGTGTTCAGATCAAAAGTTTTGGAAAAAAACATTACAGTTACCTGTGAGGGTTATCATACCTGGTTTATATAGAGACATATTATGTTATGGTTTTTCATTCAACACTGGAGTCGGTCTATAAGACCCTCTTGTTCCTATGTAGAAGTAGATATCAGCCCTGAAGAAGAACTACGACCTCCCATTCAAAAAGTTGCTGAAATACTTAAAGGAGAACTATGAGATGAGTGATTTCCACTCACCTCATAGTTCTAGCCGACCTGTGACAATGAGACTGTCACAGGTCGGCTCAGTAGATCGGGAGGTGAGCGAACACATACAATCGCTCGCTACTTCTCGATCCTGTCATGGCTCTCTGCCGTGACAGGGGAGGGGCTGGATTCCCCCCTCCCCGCTCCGATCCGCCAGCGCTGACTGGCGGAACGGAAGGGGAGGGGGCGGGTACAGCTGGCTCTGCCTGTAGATAGGCAGAGCCAGCTGTCACTCACGCAGCTGGGCGGATCTCGACATCGATGTCGGGATCCGCTCCGGCGTCTCAGTATACCGCGAGCTACAGCTGAGCTTAGGGAAACGGGAGGACGCTAGTTTGTGTCCGTCCGTTACCCTAAGGAGAACTATGGGGAAAAGCCCTAACCCCATAGTTCTTTAAAAGAGCTTCTGCATTTAGAGCTTTTCCTTAGTCCCCCTGCAAAGTCCCATAAACAACTCCTGAGCCTACCTGTGAAGTCTACCAAATGCAGCTTCCTCTAACGGTGTGGCAACGATGGTGTGCACTCTCATGTAGGCTGTGCCTGATTGCAGTATAATAGGATGAAAATAAATGTTGCAAGGGGCTTGGCTATCAGCATCGTCGCTGCTTAGGAGCCTATAGCTTGTACATCAGCACCTGGCCACACCTAGATCTCCCCGCTGCTTTCTGAATTGATAGTACTGAGCCCCTCTCACTGTGAACTGCAGTGTCTGGTAGGGGAAGCATATGAGACACGAATAAAGGAGGATATGGCTTGGTCAGGGAAGGTAAAGGAAGTTTTGTGTTTACTTTATGAGGCTTGTGCATCACATTGCAACTGGATTTGGGGCATGTTTAGACTGTCAAACAGGAGCATTTAGTTGTAGTGTAAAGTATATCTAAAGCCTAAACTTTCTTTGAGTCCTTTGTTCTGTTGGAAGAGATTTCCCTTTATTTTCCTTCCCACAGACAGAATAGAAACTAAGAGAAAATCTCACCAAAGTGAGGAAAGAATCTTAGACAGTTGCAACTGAAAATGGTGTCACCACTAGATGATTTCTCCTCATCTCATGTCCAATTTGGATTACCTATCACTTTCTGTTCCATTGTCAATAGCCACCAAGACAAATAGAGATGGTGGCTATCCCCAACAATAAAAGCCTGGGGTTTCAATACTTCCCCACTCTATCCAAAACTAAAAAGAAAAGAAAATGTAGCTTTGGATTCACTTTAAATCCAAAGCACTAAAGGATCGATTGATGAAATACTGGTCCATTATCTTCCCGCTGCACCATAACACTCAAATTCCAGGGCTGGGTTCTGCTATTCTCTCTTTATACACTGCCTGGCCAAAAAAAAAAACATCACGCACTCTAATATTTAGTTGCACCGCCTTTAGATCCACAGTTGCATTAATTTTACGCCAAGATCTTGTAGTTATGATGGGAGAGTCAGACCACTGTGTAAAGTCTTCTCCAGCACATCCCAAAGATTCTCAATGGGGTTAAGGTCTGGACTCTGTGGTGGCCAATCCATGTGTGATAATGATGTCTCATGCTCCCTGAACCACTCTTTCACAATTTGAGCCCGATGAATCCTGGCATTGTCATCTTGGAATACGCCCAATGTGCCATCAGGGAAGAAAAAAAATCCACTGATGGAAAAACCTGGTCATTCAGGTAGTAAGCTGACCTCATTTTGGGGGACATAATGTTGCTGAACCTGACCAACTGAAGCAACCCCAGATCATAACACTGCCAAAAATTCAGGTGGTGACTGTTTTTTTGGCCAGGCAGCGCATTTGTACTACTACATTACATGAATCATTGCATTAAAGCTGGATTAGGGCTTAATAACGTTGTTGAATCTTACTTAGTTTGAGGGAAAGAGACCAGGACATCCCAGAGCGTCTTGCTGCACTGATACTCATCCTGCAACCTCGTGCCATCTTCCAACTGCAAGGCTACCCGAACTTTCTGAAACAGAACATAAGTCAAAAGTGTTATTCAACCTGTCCCATTTCTCATTGTGTGCTAAAGAGAAGTACCCGTACAGTGACAAATCTTCTATCCAGGCAGTTGGAAAACATAATATTGGATCATGCAGATGCATAGCACACACGTGGTTTGTATTTAGCACATTTAGACTTTGCCAATAAAACCGTGCAAAGAGTATGTATAATCTGATGTAAACCAATCACATTTCAGTATACTCTAGTCTGACCAATAAAAGATTTGTGACAGCTGTATGCTGACATTTTTTCTTTATATAGTTACAAGCTTTACACAGAAACAAGTGTTTTTAAAAGCCTGTGTGTGCGTGTGGCACCCAAATTTTAGGGCAGGCACCTCCAGGTTTCTGCACATACAATCAGGTTATTTCCCCATGTGCCATGAGAGCTCCAAGACCCAGGCCGCTACAATGAAAAGTTCCAACTACAGCTTGAATGGTCCTGCATTCTTGGAGGCGTCCTTTGCCTGATCAATCCTCTGGGAGTCATACCTGTGGCCATCAGAGTCTTGCAATGCCTAACGGCATTTGTAGTTATACCACAGCTAGAGGGCCGGGGTTTGCCTACCTCTGGGACAGAGAGCTTGTGTTAAGTTTAGGAAAATTTACTTTTTCTTTCCCTGTGCACGAAGCCAGCTCCAAAAAGACATGGATTGACCAGTTTGGTGTGAAGGAACTTGTAGTCTGCACAAAGCCCTGACCTCAACCCTACTGAACCCTTCTGGGATGAACTGGAACGCCAATTGTGACCAGGTCTTCTCATCCGACATCAGCACCTGACCTTACAAATGTTCTTTTGAATTATTGGGCACAAATTCCCACAGAGACCCTCCAAAATCAGAAGGCTGGAGGCTGGTACAGAAAAGTGTTGACCCTCACAAAGTGTTACTGTGTGAGAGAGTCCCATTGCAATCCTGAACGTACATATCCCAAAGTGGCGGGTGCAGCAGTGACAAGATGTTGGGGCCACATTTGCAGACAATGAAGATCAGGAAAAGGCACACCAATAGTGATGCAAGCAAGTCTTTCATTGACACATGTTTACATGATCACAAAGCAAACTATGTGCTTGCATCACCATTGAAGCGACTGTGGCTTTTCCTGATCTTCATTGGCCCCAGAAAATTGGGGCCAACCACATATTAAGGACCATGGTTTTGGAATGTGATGTCCACCAAGTCCATACAGGTGTGACGGACAAGTGTCCACAAACCTTTGGCCATAATACATTCCCACCCCCAAGCTTCCAATTGAGCATCACTGATGTAGAGGAAGGCCTCTTGGCAGGGGTGTAAACATTGTGTAGGCAGTGGCAGGGATAATACGAAGCAGTTATCAACACAATCTGCATTTCAGCCACAAACATCTTTTATCCGGAAATAGAAAGAAAATGAGATACAGTGGGGGGAATTTATCAAAACTGGAGCAGACAAAATCTGGAGCAGCAGTACATGGCAACCAATCAGTTTCTCTCTTCAGTTTGTTCAGTTAAGATTTGAAAATGAAAGAGAGAAGCTGATTGGTTGCCATGCACATCTGCTCCAGATTTTGTCTGCTCCAGCATTGATAAATTTCCCTCATTGTAGCTTCGGGCAGAAGACACCTCACCGAACATTCTGCTCCAGCTCGCTGCATCGAGCAGCTCACCATCTCCAGTTTGGCATTGTTGGGAAGGTTCGCAAATCGCCATTGAAGAGAAAGATCCAGCACTGTCCTCTGAAACCTAAAAAAAAAAAAAAAGAGTTGACTCAGGTTATGTGAACGTGGTGTATAAAGATGGCGTTACAGAAGACTGAACTCACTTTAGGTTATACTCTCTGGGGTTGAAATTCTGTTTCTTGCAGACTTCTTCCAGCACCTGCGATTAAACAAAACACACACAGACGCCACACAGATTATCACCAACTCATCAAAACCGGAAGATTAGTTATTGCTAAAAGGAAGCACAGAGATGACTCTGAATTAATCACATGGACAATTACCACATATTGTGAAAAGCCTCAATGAGTGGGAAATCACTTCCAAACAGAGTCGTTTAATGAATGAATAAGAGCACCTGAAGCAGCAATCCATCGGCGTGGATCATACTGGAAAGACTATAAACAAATACTTCTACTATGTGCAATCAAGCGCTGGTGGCTCGCCATGCAGTGATACAACCGCTGAATCATGAGCTGGAAAAGTCCTCAGTATAGAACTGAAGCCAAAAAATGTTAAAGTTTTGGATAGAGTTGTAATGCTCTGGACTACAAATCCCAGAGACGTCAAGCTTATCTCAAGGATGAGCCCACCGTCTCTCTTGCAAATCTATGTGTGTCTGAAAAAGTCCACTAAGATATATCGCAACACAAGAGTAAAGGAGGGTTATGACCCCTGTCAACTTTTTGCCATCTGTGTCCCTTTAGGAAGATATCTCTTACCACAACAGGAAGTAAGAGGAAATCCCCAAGGGTGAGGCTAGGTTCACACCTATGTGACACGATGCCGCACGGTCAGGAGTCGCCAAAGTGTGAACCAATCGCACTGTGGGTGCCATTATTTGCTAATAGCACCCCATTCGCGCCGGGCAGATCGCGCGGGTTACTGCCCGTGCTTCCGACCACAACTAAACAGCCGTACGTCGTGTACTGCAAAAAAAAAAAAAGGTACTTGTACCTTTTTCTGCGATTGCCGCGCAGATTTCACCACATTGAAATCAATGGGGCCGCGCGGCAATCGCTGCCTGCATTGTGCAGGACCGCACGACACCCGGGACGCATGTCCCGGGTATCGTGCGGTGTAGTGCCGGTGTGAACCTAGCCTAAAGGAAACCTCTGGTAGTCAACAGGATCACCAGAACTTGTGTCCCCGTTGGAAGATTTCCCATTTAATCGTGTTCTGGTGATAACACAAAGTCACGCACCTAGCCAATCACATGTGCATTGTATTACAGTTGTATTGCAATTTGAAATAGTCAATCGCAGGCTGGCTATTGCTCCCGCCCACTGACTGTGGTTTAAATTCAGCCGGCCGGCAGCAAGGTGTGAACAGAGAATTTCGTCAGCAATTAAACAATAAATTTAGTTGCTGACGAAATTTTTTAGTGTGCACATCTATCAAGCAAGCGGCAAAAAGAACAAGGACATGTCATGTCTTACATTTTTTTTTTTTTCCGATTGCTTGAATGCAAGATAATAGGGATAGGTTTGCTGTACCATGTGGTGCGATGCAACTTTTTAAAAAAAGGGCGCACGCACTTCTTTGAGCGCAAATTAGCTTTGGTAAGCAGCCTGTGAAAAACGAATGGGTTGCCCTACTACAGCGCACCACAATGCACCTTGCAGCACATCGCAGAGGCGTAATCAGAGGCTAAGCACAACTCCAGGGAAAATGATTATTAACCCATGCAGTGGGGTAGCCCTACTGCAAGGGTTAACTGCTTGTTTGTGCCTAGGGTGGAAAATAAAGTTATACTCGCCTGATCCTCTGAGCTGGCTTGCTCTTAAGCTGGCCATACACCTTACAACTATCTGCAGATTTCCTGTGGTCAGGTGGAAAAGGTGCAACAGATTCCTCCATCTGCACTAAACTGTGTGGATGGAGTAATCTCCACTTGGGCCAATCTGTTGCACTTTTTCCATCTGACCACAGAAAATCTGCAGATAAATTGTAAGGTGTGTGGGCACCTTTAGAACCGGTCCCTGGAGCCTCTCTCCCCCTCCACTGCAGCAGACTAAGGTCCCGGAGTCATTACGTTCTATACGCTGTGTACAGTGTGAGGACACTGAGGGATATACCATCGCTGCAGCATGGGAGCAGACGGGCTGGAGGGAGAATTGTCAAAGCTGGCCAGCTCGGAGGATCGGGCAAGTCATTTTCCTCCCTAGACCAACACGAGCAGTTAATCCTTGCAGTGCAGGGGTAGCCCCACAGCAAGGGTTAATAATCATTTCAATGGACACACGTCAAAAAACATTTCAACACGCCTTAAGGTGCCTCGTTGTGCATTTCCGATGTGCACCGTATTGGATGTCAACATGCGTCAGGGTCCCTTCCTTATGGTGCATTGACATGCATGATTTTATTAGAAAACACATCAGAACAATAACACAAAGATGTGAATCCAGAGATTTTATTTTAGATTTAGCAAGAACAGGAAAGAGTCCTTACTATTCTCCGGCTCCTCGTTGGAGAGGTTCCAGAGACGATATTATTACCCAAAAGGCACTGAGGGAAAACCTTCAACAGGGATGTAGACAACAATAAACAAAAAAGCTGACAGAGGTTCCACCCTCTCCTTCTCTACTGCCACTGTTGGATATGTCTCCTCACTTCCTATCCTAGTTTTTCACCGCAGTGCAACACAACAAATGTTGCCAAGATGCACAGCCGCCTGAAAGTGGGGGTGCCACTGATAATCAATGACAATGCTGCTGTGACGCACATCTGCCTGGAAGTGCTTTTGGGGGTGCCACTGATAATCAATGGCAATGCTGCTGCGAGGCACAGCCGCCTGGCAGTGCATTGGGTGTGCCAATGATAGTCAATGGCAATGCTGCGACGCACAGCTGCATTGGGGGTTCATTATTGGGGGTGCCACTGATAATGGCAATGATGCTGCGACGCCCGCCTGGAAGGGCATTGGGGGTGCCACTGATAATCAATGGCAATGCACCAGCACCATGCTTTACCAATGCTGTAATCTTAACAGGCCCCTTAGCTTGAGATAAACTTTAATACAGACCAGCCTTCCCCCTGCTGCTAAACAAATTCCAAGGTTCACACACACACAGACAGGGGGATTTATCAATACTGGAGCAGTTGCCCATGGCAACCAATCAGCTTGTCTCTTCAGTTTGTTTACATAAGGTTTGAAAGCGAAAGAGAGAAGCTGATTGGTTGACAAGGGCCACTGCTCCAGTATTGATAAATTCCCCTCAATATATATTACACACATTTTGTTTCCTCTGCCTTTGGGAAAAGAAAAATAATAATATGGAACGTATAGAAAACCTATCTGGGCCTATGTCAGTGTATCAGTGCTGGTCACCCTCTGCTAGGTGGGTACATGGTGCGTCCGCCCGGCAGAGGTGTTCTGTCCTCTCCCCTCCCGCAGCTCCCCACCTGCAACAGAGGGGTCCCGGCTGTCACTTTCACCACCTGCCGCCTTCCATTGGGAGCCAACACCGTCACACCGGCACCACTGGCCGCCATGCTGGCTGACGCTGCGGAAGCTTTCAAGCAACTTTATTGAAACGGCAACAGCCTGACAGAACGACGGGAGAGCTGGCAGCGCTTTCGGAGGCGAGCCCCACCGGTTGCCCTGACACCGAAACCCCACCCAGAGCACGCCCCTCTGGATTCCCTAGAACACGCCCTTTTGGACGCTTAACCCCGCCCTGGTCACGCCCATACGTCACTGAAACCACGCCTTCCTTCGTCTCCCCACATTGGCAGAGCCGAGCTATGATAATCGTAGGACCGGTGATCGCGATGTCTGTGCGGATTTTTATTGGCTTGTTTCCTAAATTATTACATTTCAGTCTCATACGGAACTTTTTATCACATTTTCCTTTTTTTTCTTTTGTTAAACATGATTAGAATCAACTCACAAAGCTGTCTTTTTTTTAAATAGATGGAAACGCACCAAAGCGCATTTTAATGTGCGTTGTCACTGTGCTTTAAATGCGGCACTTACTGTTAGATGGTAACATGCACCACAACGCATGACTACACATATCAATGTGCATAACGGTGCGCTTTTACGTGCGTTGAACGAGGAAAATCGCATCACGCAAAAAAGAAAAAGCGTGAATCCGAATCCAGCACATTCTTCCGATTGTACCGCGTCTGGCCAACCTTGGTTAGGCTGGGGCTAGGTGGGTGACATTTGATCATGTGTCCAAAAAAAAAAAAAAGTGCAGCCAAACCATTTTAGCGATTTTTTTTAATGACGCGTGATTTTTGTTCAAGCGATCGGTCATATCTGCAGACAGGAAGGAGGTTTCCCTTCACTTAAATGGGAGCCATGCTGCTGCGGGTCCAGGGGGCTCTTGGGACCCCCCACCCCAGGATACTGTCTCACCCGTAGTCACCCTGCGCAGCGTCACGGCACTCGTAGGTTGAAAACGTGAATGTTTTTCGGTCAGAATTGCGTTTTTTGGGGGGTTTTTTGTCTGTAGACTACACTGAAAGCACCTAAAAAAAACATGCGTAATGTGCATTTTTTGGGGGGGCTCCTCCTCCTAGTAACTAGCTTTTCATTGGTTGGAAAGAAAATGCGAGATAAAAACCGCACTCAAAAAGCGTCAAAATCGCCTCAAAAGGCTCACGTGTGAATGGGGGGGGGCTTAGTTCCTTTCACACCTTCGCGTTCCGAAAACATGCACATTGAGTTGCGTTTACCGAACGCGTCAAGAACGTGCAACGTGCTTGCGGTGCCATTACATGTTAATAGCACCCTAAACGTTGCGGGGAAAATGCAAATTTTTTGTCATCAAAAAAGGCATCAAAGGCATGGTGAAAAAACGCAGTGCGCCTGTCACAGAATGCGCATTTGATGCTTGTGTGTCACCTATTGAAATCACTGGACGACGCGCGTCCAACGCGGGGAAAGCTGCACGCGTACGTGCGTGAACGGATATGAACGCAACGCTCATTTACAAAATATGAAGGTGTGAATGGGGGCCTAGAGCTCATCCATAAAAATGCGCGGCGACGCTCTCGTGAATGGGGACTATCACAATGCAAAAAACAAAACAAAACAATATTTTGACCCTCGATGTGACCCGTACAGTAAAAAAAATGCATTTTTAAAAACGCAGTAAAATGCAATGAAGCGCATTAAAAAATAATACGCATCAATGCGCACACGTTTTCTTGCGGCTTGCGCCGTCTATATAAACACGTACGACGCGCAGACCCCCGGCACATCTATATGTTTTTTGCATAATGGCCGCTTCCAGGAATCCAGACGATGGCGGCTTTAGCCAAATCCGAACACAAATAACTCTGACATTCCGGAACTATTTGCATGATGGTTTTTGCATACGGCGCGTCGATAAACAGATGTGTCCTCCTCCTGCGTCACTGGCTAGACACGGCGCCCGGCGGACTTCTATTTCTTTTTTTCATGTGCGATCGGCTTTCTTAAATCCGAGCAAAACAACGGTGCAATGAGCTATAGGAAGGATTACGCAACTGGGACCGGATTGTTATCGTCATCTGCAGCCTTGGGGCCGAGCGGTTCTGTCCAAAGGTGAAGGGCGAGAAAAGTAGACGATGGTCAGATTTGTTTCCTGCTAAAGGATTGTGCTTTTTTTTCGCCATCTGTGTCCCTTTGCGGAGATTTCTCTTCACTTCCTGTCCAATAGCCACAACAGAAAGTGAGAGGAAATCAATCTAAAGTGATGGATATCCCTGGTGGGGTTAAAAGCTAGTGTCCCTATTGGGGGGATTTTCCTCTACTTCCTGTCTAATAGCCACAACAGGGAGTCAGAAGAAAATCCCTCCAATGAGAGGGAAATCCCCTGTGTCACCAGACCTAGTGTCCCCATTTAGGAGATATCTCTTTACTTCCTGTCTGATAACAACAACAATAACAGGAAGTGAGAGGAAATCCCTTCACAGGGAGGGAAATCCCTGGTGACAACCCAAAATGTGGGATCTTTCACTCTCAATGATAACATTCACCAGGAGGAAAACTAAACTAAAATATTATCTAAGGGCCAGTTCATACCAATTGCGGTGCGTTCCAGAGCGGTAGCTGCTGGAACGCACAGCAATCGCTCACTACACTTCCCCTTTGTTTTGGGGCGGGGCGGTGCATTGAAGCCACGCCCCCCCGCCTGCAGTGCGATCAGACGCGTGGCAGAACATTGCCTGCGCTCCGGTCTACTGCAAACGCGAAAAAATAGAGCATGCAGCATTTTTTGCGTTTGCAGTGGACCGGAACGCAGGCAATGTTTTGCCACACATCTGATCGCACTGCGGGCGGGGAGGCGGCACCATTGACTTCAATGTACCGCCCCGCCCCATTGCGGTGCGATTGCGGTGCGTTCCAGCAGCTGCCACTCTGGAACGCACCACAATTGTCTTTGTTGTCCATTGCACATGCCACTCACATCCCTGGCCAAGTCGAGCTCTGTCTGGCCCCGTTGGCCTTCTTCCGTTCAATAAAAAGTTTTCTCGATTGAGCCGGTGGTAAAATGACTGGCTGTTCAGGTACCCTGACCGGGACATTCGCCGCCGTCGGCCCGCTGGACGAATCCGAACGGGAGGGAATGAGCTTTTTCTTCGAGGGCCAATCCAGACAGAAAGCACTAGTGTCCGGCCCGCTCTAGAAAAGTTCCCTGCTCATCCCAAAAAAAGGAGGCGCATTCCGACCGGAGCTCCCCCAAAAAAATGGAACAAAAAAGACAATGTAACTCCGAGAAAGGTAAAAGTGGTGACCACCGCCAGAGAAGACTTTCACACGCGGTGAATCTTTCCCACCAAAAAAAGGGGGAACAGTGGGCGACCCGCGTCAAAAATGTTGCTCCATCTCCAAATTCGATAGCGAGCATTTTGCGCAGAGCGCCGCATGCAATTGTCAGCTCTGTCGCATGGAAGATCACAAGGGCTCAGCTGGACATGCCACCAAAGTGGCCCACTGGAATGATGCGCTTGGCGCCCCTGTACCCCCCCCTCTATTTTATTAGGAATATCTCCTGTGTAGTCTAGGACCCCTCCCCTCCCGAGCCCTCCTCCTCCCCTTCATCTCAGTCTCTGCTGGGACGGATGTGGGACTCGCTTGATCTAATCTGCAGCAGTTTTTCAATCCTTTGTAACTTTTTGGGGATTTTTTTGTTGTTTTTTTTTTTTATTTGCCTTTTCAGGTCCTCTCAGGTTACCTGCTATTTACCCACCAAAGACCCCTAAGTGACTTCACCCTGATGACTTTAACGGCTCTTTAATTAGGAAATGGCAAGCCTGTGGGGAAGGGGAGGTCCAGGCTGCTCTTGAAGGGTTAATTTAAAGCCCCCTCCTCCTGCCCCCTTAGTGCAGTTTATTCCAAATCTCCAGATCCTGAGCTTCACACTCACTCACAGAGTCTGCTGAGCCCAGAGCTTTGCACTGCAGGCATTGCTCGGTGCAGATCTGTAACTGGAGAGGGGATCAGATAGATCCCAACGTATCCCCCCTGGGTGAGATCACCTTCCCACCCACCTCCCTCCATCCATCAAAGGTGGCTCCATTCATCAGCAGCATTTATAGGGGCCAGCCAGGAACCACTCAACTTCCACTTCCTACTCAACTTAGGACCCGGGCTCCCCTTAGGCTGACCTTAGGACGGCTCCTGCAGGATTTTAGGAAGAGCGGATCTCCTCTTGTGTGTCTGCAACTTTTGCCAAGGAACTTGCCCAGCACCTGTCCATCTCTGTGACTGACCTTGGACTTTTATTACGGAAAGACCTGCGAAGGAGGAGTGCCGCACTTCGGAGAAAAGCGACCTGCGATCTACAAGGTACCCATTTCTGTGGTTTTATAGTCGCCAGCTGAACTGTAGGCTAGCCATAGAGGTTACATAGTCGCCAGTTGCCCATCAGGATAGCCATAGACGTTCTATACTTGCCAGCTGTCCGTTAGGATAGCCATAGAGATTACATAGTCGCCAGCTGTCCGTTAGGATAGCCATAGAGATTACATAGTCGCCAGCTGTCCGTTTGGGTAGCCATAGAGATTACATAGTCGCCAGCTGCCGGGTAATATAGCCGTAGACATCATATAGTCGCCAGCTGTCCGTTAGGATAGCCATAGATGTTACAGTCGCAAGCTGTCCATCGGCACATAGTCGCCGGCTGTCCCTTTTTAGGATAGCCATAGATGGTACATAGTCGCCGGCTGTCTGTATGTAATTGATAGAGATTAAATGGTGGTCAGTTGTTACATAGCCTAGCCATAGAGATTACATAGTTGCCAACCATCCAATAGGACAATCATAGAGTTAGATAGTTGCCAGCCATACTGTAGGATAGTCTAAAGCTGGCTATACACCTATAGATTATCTGCGCCCCTTTGGCTCTCAAAATACCTGAACAATGCCTGCATCCAATCAGATTGTTCAGGTATTTTGAGAGCCAGCGGGGCCGACTAGCAAGATATTGAAGCTTGGCCCAGTGGGAGATTCCTCCATCCACAGTTTAGCGTAGATGGAGGAATCTGTTGCACTTTTTCCCACTGACCGTAGAAAATCTGCAGATCATCTATAGGTGTATGGCCAGTTATAGCCATAGATCTTGCATAGTTGCCGGCCATCCTATAGGATAGCCATAGAGTTACATAGTTGCCAGCCATCTCGTACAATAGTCATAGAGATGATTGTACATTGTTGCCGGTCATCCCATATGATGCCCATAGAGTTACATAGTTGCCGGCCATCTCATAGGCTAGCCATAGATCTTACACAGTAGCTAGCAGTTCTGTAGGATATCCATAGCGATTACATTGTCACGAGCTGTCCCATAGGATAGCCACAAAGATTACATAGTCATCAGCTGCCCTATACATAGACCAATGGCCGTACTCGTTGAAGATCTCTTAGAATAAAGATTGTTCCACAGACAGTGACGGTTTCCTCTACTGCAAGATTGGATCGGAGGAGTTGTCAACGTCCTATGATGATTCCTTTACAGAAATCGCATGAATGTGTTGTCCACAATTGTTCAATTTATTATAAGATTCTGGAGGAGAAGGGATAACATTGCAGATCTGAATTTTTTTTGATTGGCCAACAGATTGCCAAGGTAAAAATGTCTGCTCTGCAGGTATACTCTCTATCTCTCTATCTCGCTGCTCTGTACAATCCCATCCTAATCTGGTGCATATGTTGGATCTCACGTGAGCCCACAGACGTATAGATTTGTATACAATGCAGTATAGACATAGGGGAAAGTACAATTGGGAGTGTGACCGCTTTCTTTCACCTTTTGGGTAGCAGCTTCCAAGGACATTCTCTGGGTTCTGTGGAACTGTTCCGTGATGTGCTCACGCTGAACTGTTCATATCAGTCTCCAAAGGAGCTCGCAATCTATTTGTACTAGCACACTGCTACATACACAATAGGACCAAGTTGGCTGAAATCCCGTTAACCTGCCAGTGTGTTTTCTATTGGTATGTTATCACCTCCTCCAATATACTACTTATTGATAATTAAACTAGGGATGCACCGATACTAAGTACTCGGTACAAGTACAGATACTTTTCCAGCTCCAGGACTAGACTAGAGAAACATTCTAAAGTTAGGAGGCAGCTGTCATTAGTAAGGCCCCGTTCACATATAGCGAATTGTCGCGCGATTTCCGCCGCGATATCGCGCAATTTTGCCGCGCGATATCGCGAGAAGTCGCCGGCCAATGTTATTCAATGGAGCTGTCTTAACTCCATGTCGCTCGTCGCGGTCGCAAGTCGCTTCTACCGGACCCTTTTTTCGGCGGATTTTGCGCGATTTTACTTTTTTTCTATGGAGCCCGACGGGGAAGGTCGCGCTACCGTCGCTGGATCGTCGCTGGAACGTCGCCCCGAAAGTCGCGCTATCCCGGCCGTGCGGATCCGCTGCAAAAGGTATGTCGCTATATGTGAACGGGGCCTCAAGAACACACGGAGCTCCTGGGATTTGTACATCTCTGATTTAATGTATGATTGTGTTTTTATAAAGGGATGCACCAATACCAGTTTTGCAAGTACAAGTACTGATACTTGTCCAAGTACTCACAGATACAAGTACTGCTAGATTTTTTGTTTCTTGTCATGTGACAGTTTTTCTAAAACAATACAGACTAATGATTTCAGGACAGTGGTGGAGCGCCAGAGCCAGGTCCCAGCTGCAACCACTGCAACCCTGGTAGTTCTCATGAAAATGCCAAGTATCGGCACTGGTATCTGAAAAGTAACGGTGCATCCCTAGGAGGAAGTTCTATTTATCAATATGAAGCATTTTATTATTATTATAATGAATATCTTTCTACATTAGAAACATGTTCTGTTTATAAATACACTACTTGTGTGTATACAATCCCCCCTTTGCAAATCTCAATATTTAAATGCATAGGCTCAGATGTCGTGGCCATGGAAAGGATAGGTTGTCTGCCCCGGTGTCCTAGTTACACCACACGCGTTACAACCTGATTGTCCAATCTCCTATAGATCTACCAACAACCTATAGAGTGTGAGCGCCCTTCTCATTGGATACAAAGTGACTGTACGGCTTGGGTGGGTTTTCATATGACATTGTTTTGGTAAATGTAAAGACTGTATGGTGAGATTGTAACTTGTATGGTGACCCTGAATAATGTCCATGTGTTGGTGCGTTTACTGTACAGCTCATTTGTCGCATTGTGAACGCAGCAAACACAGCCTTAGATGCATCAAGGTGCCATTTGCATTGGGGCAATCTCATTGTATAGACAGGGAAAGATCTAAGGATTGTGACATTTGGATTTTCTGTGTGTGTGTGGGGGGGGGGGGGGTTCACCATGCAACAATCGTCTGTGTGTGTTTTATTGAACCATCAAGAAATGCGTAAAAAGTGCAGCAGCTCCAAGTGAACAATCGGTAACCATGTTTCTCCGTCTTCACTTTCTATGACCGAATGAATGCTAAAATCTGGCTGCAATGGGTTACTACAGATCACTGCAAGTACCCAGTGCAAGGACAATGCAAAGTATATATTGAAAGAGATCTAACATTTTCAGAAGGTAATCACTGGAAGCCTGAGATAGCCAAGCAGCTAGCATTTTCAGGAGATGGTCCTCAATGGATACCTAATGTAGCCAAGCACTTTGCATTTTCCTAAGGTCATTAATAAAGGCCTGAAATAGCCAGGCAGCTAGCATTGTCTGAAGGTCATTAATGGAGGCCTGAGATAGCGAGGCAGGTAGAATGCTCATAAGGTCATTAATAGAAGCCTAATATAGCCAGACAGCTAGCATTTTCAGTAGGTCATCAATGGAAGCCTGAGATAGCTAGGCAGCTGGCATTTTCAGAAAGGTAATTAATTGAAGCCTACAATAGACAGGTAGCTGGCATTTTCAGGAGGTCATCAATGGAAGCCTGAGAGCCGGGCAGCATTGTGGACCTGGCTCCTGGGATTTGTACAACTCTGCCCATGGCCAACCAAATGGTGGGATAGAGTGAGCTGTCTGATATCTGTTGGGGTTTGTTCTTGCGGATGGATCTTCTGTCTCATTAATGGGGAGTCTAAAGGTGCCTGTAGATCTGAGATGACCATGTCATTTTCAGCCAGGTTGTGCAACAATCTCATGCCTACCGGTTGATGTTTATCCGGGGCTGCTGGAGATCGGAGAGGTTAGGATTGCTAAAGTTCCCCTAAGATAAGCCAGTGCCAACTGCGCCCTTTCCTTCTCCGTCATCACCTTGTGTGCTCGGCAAGTTGGAGGGACAGTCTGAAGCAATCTGATCTTCAACCTGAGAGCTGCTGATGGGTTAAAGCAGTGGTAGGCAACTTCGGCACTACTGTAGAAGTCCCATGAGCTATTGCAAGACTGACAGCCACAGACATGACTTCAGAGGCAGATGCATGATGGGATTAGGAGTTTCGTCACAGCTAGGGTGCTGAGGTTGCTTACCCCTGGGTTAAAGGAGTACTGTCATGATGGATACATGGATGCTTCCAACACTGACCTATCCTCGTAAAAAATTCTAGTGGATTGCCTGTAATGTCTTGAGTCACTGACCCAGAACAAGCCTGAAGATGCTGACTGCTGAATTTCCCTGCATATGGCTGACTGATGAGTTTACATTAAAGTGAACCTGTGCGTTTACTTATTCAGAGCAAAGAGATGGGTTCCGTTTAATTCCATACCTGCAGCTTCCTATACTTCTCTTTTTTCTTCTCTCTCACCCCATTTATTTGTAGGATCGAGGAGAGAAAGCTGTGTAAGCGTTGGGTCCTGATGTGGGCCTTACCCAGGGCTGAGGACTCTCTTCCCAACCCCCCCATGTGACGGCGCTGGGTCCCTGAGCAACCAAGTGTTAGAGCTGCCATGTGAAAGGGGAGCTGATCACATTCTCTGTTCACCTAGGGCAGGGGTAGGCAACCTTGGCTCTTCAGCTGTGCCGAAACTCCAAATCCCGAGAGCCAAGGTTGCCTACCCCTGCCCTAGGGGAATGTGGAGAAGAACTTCTGTGTAAGCGTTGGGTTATGTTGTGGGCCTTACCCAGGGCCGAGGACTCTCTTCCCACCCCCATGTAACGGTGCTGGGTCCCTGAGGAATCAAGTGTCAGAGCTGTCACGGGACAAGGGAGCTGATCACGCAGATATCAGCCAACACCTGATCAATGGGGGGAAAACAAATAAATTCTGTTGCTTTTATACGAATTTCTGCACTTTGCATATCACTGTTTTTGCTAGCAGACTGAATACAATGGCCACCACTGTTGATTCCTCCATCTGCGCTGTTTAGCGTGGATTGGGGAATTTTGGTAAAATCTACAGAGTTTGTGTGT